TCACCTTGGTCCAGACTACGGGCTCCTAACGGGTCTCATTCGGAAGATGTATATTCCCTTCTGTACTTAGTAGCCTTCAATGGCTTCTCGTTGAGTGTCACCTTTGACAGTTTAAACAGTTTAAGTTCCTTCCTATTTTGGAGAGGAGACGGAGACGTCGGAAGGTCCTAAAGTGGGCCCAGGGTGTACCATGTTGAGATCAGTACAAATCCACTCTTGCTTCAGAGACATCCCCCTGCCCCTATTCTTTGGAGTTCTAAGGGGTCTTTAAATACGGATCTTTCTGCCTCAGGTCCTTGTCGCCTCTCTCTTTATTTGGCCAACTCCTCTCACCCTTCATGTCCAGCTGACTGTCACCTTCTCATGAATGCCTTCTTGTAACCTGAGTCTAGGACAGCTTCTCTGTCTAAAGCTACCACTTCTCATTTAGTAGTTATCATAATTATAATAAGCGTGTGTAGTTAACATTGCGATGTCTTTTTCTGCTCCTAATTACCAAGTCCATGAAGGCAGGCACCATGTCTGTTTATTCACTGCTTCCCCTCAGCACACAACATAGTATCTAGAGCTTAATAGGTTCCAGGTGAATACACGTGCATCTCATAGAAACTCTGATTTGGGGCAAAGGCCAGGAAGAAGCCATTCTGCCTCTGTTCTGATTTGAGTCTCATTCTTAGGAGATACGAATGTAGAGGTTATTCTGTAAGGATCCTAGATTAGTTATTTATGCTGCTTACTAGCCACAGTTACTAATGAGGCTCTGGTGAAGAGGGTATCATAAAGTTCAACAGGGGAAATGATATTCCCCTTCTCTAATCAAAGAGGTTATCTTCCAATAGGAATGAGGCTCTGAGCTGTATATTAGATGAACTATGGGCTCTGTTATGCAATGGCTTCTTGACTTGAGAAAAATATATATTTTTCTTCAATAATGGTAAGAAAAAAAGCAGGGTAGGATTGCTGTTTCATTTTTCAGGTTGTTAGCAGATAAGCAACAATGACGGATAATGAGCATATATGAACAAAACCCAGTGTTGTAATCAATGAGGACTTTCTACAGAGGAAATCTAACCTATATTTAATGGTATGTGTAACTGTTGATGCTCTGAATGGCATCTGGACACCTATGTTAAGCAGTTCTGCAACTGTAGTGGCTGTAATTCACACACACACACACACACACACACACACACACACACACACACGGTCCATTTTCTCTTTCGACCAAGAAAGGGTGGTAGGGAGGGAGGCAGAAGGTGTTATAAGGAAAAGTCCAGGTCTTGTGATTGGCACACCGGTGTCCAGCTTGTTTTCATAGTTTCAGCACCGATCTTACCATCTGGTTCCACATGTGCAGTTTTCCAGATGTCTAAGAGCAAGAGCTGCTTTTACAAAATCTAACTGTTAAACTGTGCTTTACATGTATCCATGGCTTTATTTTTTACAACAACAACACCTTGAAGGAATTATTATTTTCTCCATGGTGCAGAGGGGAACACTAAGGTGAGTGATGTCACAAGGTCATGCAGCTTGGAGCCGAGGTTGGACAGACTCCAGAAGGAAAGTTACTTTGTGCAGACTGTGTAGACATAAGACTGTGTCCCAGAGGAGAGTTAAGGGGGAATGGGCCTGAGTGACTGAAGGAGTCAGGTGCTGGAATTGGGAACTATGGGCTTGAAGGGAATTTAGAGTCATCTAAGTTAACGGCTTTGAAGCTTTTGACTACAAAGAACTGCTGCTATTAATTGCCCCTAGAGGATCTCTATTTTGAAATATTTTGGCTGGTCAAACATTTTTAAGGAAATAATTACATTTTCTGATTTTGTTAATCAAAGATGTAATAGATGACTATCAAATAGAGCTCTGATTAGTATGAGCCTGTCTTTCCACACCAAGTGGCTTGTTACTCCGGCCAGACGCAGAGACGTGCTGTCCAATGAGCCTGTGCAGACTTACAGGAGCTGGGGTGTAGAAAGCATACAATTTCATCAGGCTTTTTCGAATTTTGGAAATTATTCAAAGACAGTCCTCTTTTTGCCACAAGTACCTCCAAGAACCCGCATCAATCTAGTGTTCCCAGTTGGAAACCATTAATTCAGACCTACTTTCTTACTTTGTTACTGAGGAAACTGAGGCCCAGACAAGGTGAGGAACATTTCCAAACTCATCAAGTGAGTCAGTGCATACAGGGAGTACTGAAACATGGGACACATGGGACCTGGGACCCATTTACCACTCAGAGATAATAGACTTGACCGGTTCATTCTGTACCCAGTTCTGCAGCTTATGAAAGTTCAAAGAACTTCCTGCCATTTTTAATTCTGAGAACATGTTGCTATGATCCAGCTCCTCTTTCCTTGGAGTGTTCTGTTTGCTTTTCCCTAAACTACCCCAGGCCTAAAGCTTGTCCTCATGTGCACACGTGGGAAGAGAAATATATATATATATATGTATGTATATATATATATATATATGTATGTATATATATATATATATATATATATAGAGAGAGAGAGAGAGAGAGAGAGAGAGAAGCTCTCTGGTGTCTCTCCTTATAAGGACACTAATCCCATCATGATACCCCACCCTCGTGGCATCAAAGGCTCCATCCCCAAATACCATCACACTGGGGCTTCAATATATAAATTTTGAGGGCACACAGCATTCAGTCCATAACACCTGGAAAAGAAGTTTTGCTAGTTTTCCAGATGAGAAACCGAGGCCCAGAAGAAGTAAATATAATTGTACCGAGCCAATGAGAGCGAACCAAAGGAGGTCATGTCCATGATGATGACTCCCCCGTGTACACTGATGCCTCCTGTACTCTTCCTCTTCCACCCAGGACAGAGCTATTTCTTCTAAATTCTTAGAAGGCTGTGGTAGTTTCAAAATAGGTCCACAAATTCTTTGATATCCCTCCTTTCTAAATGTGGAATCTAATTCTTTCCCCCTTGAATAAGGGCTATACTTACCAACTCACTTCTAACAAATAGAATGGAGCAGACACGATGGCGTGAGATTTCTGAGATTAGGTCTAAATGACCATGACTGTCTCCTTCTGTCTCTTCAATCATGGGCTCTGGGGAGGACAGCTGCCACGTTGTGCAGACATGTAAGTAGCCCCATGGAAAGGCCCATGTAGTGAGGAACCAAGGCCACCAGCCCATAGCCAGTGAGGAACTGAGGCCTCCTGTCAATAGCCATGTGAACATGCCACTTTGCATGTGAATTGTCCAGCTCCGGTCAAGCCTTCAAGTGATTGCAGCCCTGGCTGCCATTCTGACTGCAACTCATTAGAGACCCTGAGCCAGAACCCCTACTTGTCATCCTCAGATTCGTGACCTATAGAAATTGTGAGATCATAAATATTGTTTTAAGCTGCTAAAATTTTGGGGGCAGCAACAGATAATGAATACAAAGGGAAAGGTGTTTTATGCTATTCTCAGTTCTCCATTTTCCACGTTACCCAGGTGGCCAAGCCATATCAATATTTCTGAGTCAATTTCCTCTTATAGAAAATAGCAACAAAATGCCATATGGTATGCCTGATCCATATATGCCTAGTACCGACTAGCTCAAAATGAGCTCAATAAATTGTCGTTGTTGTCAACACCTGATTGGCTGTGTGGCTTCCCCAGGTGAGTTTCTGTCTATTGGCTTCAGAGATCCACTTCCCTCAGATGAGGTGCCAACCTCAAGCTTAAGTTGGTGTGTGCCTGCATTGCCTGAGAGAGACCTCTAAACGCCGAAACCTTCCCGGCCTGGGGACTCATGGCTTCTCCATTTTAGTATAGAGAGCCTTAGCGAAGACTACCTCACTTCTTCTCTCCTTGCCTTCTGCTAGCTTCCATTCTTAAACCTAACCTTTCATCTCAGAATTTCAGCTTTGATGCTCCCCACTTCCTTCCTATGGTTACCTTAACCAAAGTGAGTCAGGTCTTACTGAAAAACTGACCTCAGCCAGTCAGCTCCCACCCTCCCCCGGATCAGGGCTGCCTGGGCAGAACGTGAGGGGGATCAGTGTTTACTGAGCGCACTATTTTCCCCTCGCTCCTCCAAGTCATGGGGCTTTGAGTAGGGCTTCCCCAGCCACCATGCCCCTCCCAGCAGAGCGCAGGCAGGAGCAATGTCACGTTTGTCTGATGGGTCAAGGAGGGGTGACAGCGGCTTGAATTCTTGGGTATCCTATTGAGTGGGTGAATTTGCCTGTTGCCGTAGATCAGGTAGAATCTGGTAGAAGTTTTTAGTTGTCGATGACCATGACAACCCGCTCTGTGCACGGGGACCATCTCTGAGTGCTGGAGCCATGACAGCTCTCCACCATAGTCCTTATGACAACCCAGGCAACTTAGGGTTCACTCTTGGAACTTTGGTGCTTAAAGAAACAAACAAACAAAAGAAAACACTAAAAAATTTCCTCTGCTTATCTTTCTAATTTTGGTATGTGTATAAGTCATCCTTAGCCTTGAAAATCAGCTTGATCTTTAAGGATTTTTTTTTCCAATTTTTTTTTTATCCTCACCCAAGGACATTTTTGCATTTATCTTCAGATAGAGCGGGAAGGAGAGAGGAAGGAAGAGAGAGAGAAACATCGATGTGAGAGAGACACATCGAGTGGTTGCCACCCACGCAACCCCAACCAGGACCGGGGACACACCGCAACCAAGGTACGTGCCCTTCGCGGGAACCGAACCCGGGACTCTCTGGTCTGTAGGCCGACGCTCTAACCACTGAGCCAAACCGGCCAGGGCTGATCTTTAGGGTTTTAAGGGTAATTCCTTAAAGGATTGAATTTACGGAAGGACTGGGGTGGTGCTCCTGGCTTTGGAAGGGAAAGTGTCTTTTCCCCCTGCTTGGATTTGGAGGCTTCTCTCTTTGCGGGAGAGGGTAATCGGCTTCTTACTCGGAAATGCAGAATTCATTCATCGACTCTCTTCTATCTTAGAGACTTCGAGGGAATAATTCTAGTCAGACAGAACTCAACTGACACCGTAACATCATTTTAATAAAACCCATTTATTTATTCAAAATTAAAATCTGCTACAAAGACAGACAAACAATGTAACATTCCCAGAGGAATTGAACTGCTTCTAGTTAACACTGAGTTCTATTAGAACCAATTCTAGGTCGTTATAAATAACAAGCTGATCTCAGCTTTGAAGGACGAAGTGGTTAGAAAAAGATGTCAGGGAAATCCTTCTGGGCCACTGGGATATTAATCATCCAAGGGGCTCCCTCGTTTCTCTTCCTAGGAGGAGCCCCAGGCCCAGGGACAAAAGAAGTTGCAGAGAGAGCGGGGCAAACAGCTCAACACTTACAAAGTATGGTCGGACTTGGAAGGGATGCTTCAGATGGCTTCCCAAGAAACATTTTTTTTCTCTTTGTATAACTTAACAATTTATCTTAAAACACTCAAATATCCTAGGGTGTGACCCCACGGAAACAGCTTAAACAGATGAAAAAAATAAATATTGAAAAAAATTATAATATTGGGCTTCTTTCTAAATACTTCACAGAGAAGCTCAGTAAATAAATAGAAATAGGAGCTGAGGTATCAGAGGTAATAAATATTCTAGGAGAGAGGTATGACAGGGTTTTCCAAGGAGCTGGGTTGGCTCTCTGGAACCCTGGATCAGATTTTGGAGATCTCCAATTTCTGTCCATAGAGTCCAGTAGAGTCACCGTCCTGGCGGACTGGTTGCTTAGGGTGTTTCAGTTTTTCATCTTCATTGTCATGTAGGCTTCTATGTAGTTGATGAAGATGTCAAACTCACTCATGGCTTTGTAGACCCCTTTCTCTTGAAGCTGTGTGGGGAGATAAGAAATGTTTAGTGAAAACCCAATCTGAGCAAGTGAGTCAGTTGGTCCCTCACTTGGGTGGCTGGGGCCCAAAGCTGCACTTGATGCCTCGAGCTGGGCGGTGAAGGATGGACCCGGGGGACCTGAGGATGTGCCCGCTGCCGTGGGAAGGCTGTGCATTGACACGAGGCATGGTTAGTGGTGGCAAGAGGAACATCTACTCTGCAAAGCACAGTCTTCAAAATGGTGCCTTTTCAACATTTTTAAAGGTCATGGACTCACATGATGCTTATTCAGAATTTGATGAAAAAACATTAGAGGAACCACTTGGGAAGCAAGACAGTGAGAGAGGAGAGAGGGGAGCCTCTTCAGGCCTATTCTTTCACCAACAGATTAGTAGGCCCCGCCCTGCTCTTCTGACCCCTGTCGAGAGATTCATGTCCCCTAATTTTGGACCCCTGCCCAGTGTCTGTCCCCAGCCCCTGAAGAGGACACAGGCCACATGGCTTCTGGGAAAGGGGGTTTAAATGTTCACCAACAGTAGGCAATGTGAAACCCCATTCGGGTTGAGAGTTGACATTCTCGGGGGACCTTGGGAGGTGTGAGTGGCAGATGGGAAGAGGACATGGACCAACTCCAGAGAAGGGAGTATCCTGCTTCCTGCTCTGTCTGGGTCTTGGGGAGTCCAGGCTGAACCCCTGGGTGTGTTTGTGTGCACATGCACGTGTCAGCTTTCTGCACGTGTGACTTCAGCCTCAATTTCCAACAAGCTACTTTCTGTTTCCTTTGTCACTCTCCCCAGCACCTAGCTCACTGTGTTCACAGGCCGGCTCAACCCGCAGCCTGCAAAGGCGGGAGCAGTCATTTAGAAACCCCCAAGGAGACTTCACAGAAAACAAATATAACCAAGGCGACGGCTCCTCACTGGTTGAGGAGGTCACACCATCTGTTGGGTTCCCACAGTCCCTCCCAGGAAAGGATGGGGCCTGCTGAACATCTGCCCACAGCTGCCCCTGGGGGCATGGGCAGGGTCATGCTCCTGGAACCCTCCCTGCCACCATGGAAGCTCACCTTACTGAAGGCACTCTTCACCTGCTCCACTGCTTTGCTCTTATTTTCACAGGGCAGAAAGCGATGCTGTGGAGGAAAAGAGAAAGTGTTAAACATCCCGGCTCACTTGGGGACAAGCTGTTGGCAAAAAGGGACCCGAATCGTCCGTCCCGAAGGCCTCCCCTTCCCACCATACCCCAACTCATTCTTCCCCAGCAGACAGGGGAGGAGCACAGCCCAGGAGATGAGATGTGTTCCTCCAGGAGCTGCTCTGATATGCGCGCAGAGCTTTTCATGGAAACTGGAGCCCTGAGCTTCCTCCCCTGGCCTGCAGAGCTGACTAGATGCTGAGCCAGCCCTTCTGCCCTTCCCTGCTTCTCTGTCCCATCTGTCCCCGTCAGTCCCCCACCCTGAGCGCCATTTCTAAATCCCCGAGGAACAGAGACACGGTCTCAGCTATGCAGATGAACCCTTTGCATACTGCCATCCTCCAAGTAGAGACCACAAGCAGCGGAGAGCCCATTATTGGCCAGGAGCCCAGGACAGCGGCCTGGAGGGCATGGGTTCAGTTGGAGAAATAGATTACACTGGGAATTCGCCGCAGGGCCCTTCGAAACGCCAGGGAAAGTGCTTTCAGTCGGTGCGGCCCACTTACAGGTCTGATTTTAAAAGATTCAGAATAAGAGTGAAGTGGAGTTTCCTCCCTCCAGGACGCTCACCTCCTGGCCCCTCTTGCTGGGCCCAGGGCTTAGGCTCCAAGGGGTAGGGGAGTCCTGACTAAAGCCCTGGGCCCCTTTCTGACAGAGGCCGGGGAACAGTTAATAACCCACAAATGACTCACAAATAACAGGAAAGCTGTTTGCAAATCTTCACATGTAAATGCCCAGCAGCTACCCCACCCCCTGCTCAGAGAGAAATGAGCAGGCTCCTGCCACTGTGTCTGAGTGCCTGGGTGTGAGTGGGGTCAGGAGCTGCCAGGAGCTGCCCGGGACAACTGTCCGCTACTCACGCAGCGCCGCAGCCTGAGCCTGAGAGTCTTCAGCTTCTCCCCCAGGGAGTTCACGTGCTCCTTGATGTCTGGGTCCGGGCTCTCAGCCTGGGGCATCACCTCTTCCAGGTAAAACTGGATCATCTCCGACAAGGCTTGGCAACCCAGGTAACCCTAGAGGCAGAAGCAGAGGAGGGAGGGTGGTGACTGGGAGGAAGGGCTGCTGCCACTAGCGTGAGAGGGTGGCTTTGTCCCCGCGGGCCTTTCTTCACCAGCCGCCTTCCCCCAGGACTGAGCCCTTTGTAACCCTCTGGCTGGCTATGTGCTGAGGTAAGATCTTCCCACTTCTCCTTTTCAAGTGAAGGAAGCAGACCCAGCTCCTGCAGGCGTGCAGCGGAGCCTCCCTCCTCTTAGTCACGAGGCGCACTCCCCCGCCCTCCACCCACCCACCCAGCTCTTACCTTAAAGTCCTCCAGCAAGGACCGGTTCAACAACATGCTGTCCAGCTGGTCCTTCATTTGCTACAAGAACAAAATGAGAATGAACTGGAGGTTTGGGGACATACCTGAAATGAATGTCCTTTATAGAGTTTTTTTTTTTTTTTTTTAATTTTTAATCAGTGCAGCCCTGGCCCACAAATGGAAAGGATGGTTCTCAGAACGAGGCATTCCGTGGTGCTGGAGCCCTTGGTTAAAGTAGGCCCTCCCCCTTGGGATGAAGTTATTTCAAACATTCTGCCAGATTTTGAAGCCAAGGCAGAAGCCTGACTCAGTCCTGGTCCTCTTCCTGCAGAGACACATTGGGTTTGAAGGGGCCACCACGTCAGTCCTCCAGTAGTCTCGGCCTGTCACCCCCTCCTGCCTACACCCTGCTGCAGCTCTGAAGCTCCCTGGAAATGGGGACAGCTCCTCCTGCAGTTTCCCCCTGCATGGTGCTCCCCGAAACATCAATCTTTCAGGCTCTAGACCACTCTTAGCAGAGGCAATTTATGTCTCCCCGCCACAGGGGGTGGGGAGCATCTTCACCTTTAATCACACCCTTCAGGAGTTCTCCCAGCCAATGATGCACTGAGCTCCAGCAGAATCTTATAAAAAGTTTCTGAGCATAGGAGAGAGTGCTTGTACCTTTCAGGTAGCTTTCCCTGCACATCGGCGCATCATCCAGCCTTAGCTTAACTCATCGAACCCAGAGCTTGACTGGGGCAGTCCCTGCAGAATTTAACTTTGGCGCAATGGGTGCTGGGGATGGAGGTGAACGAGCAGAATCCTGGGAGCTCTAGCAGGATCCTGTTGGGGCATTCTCGGGGAGGAAGGATAAGGAAGCATGATACTCACAAAGAAAGTCTTCACCTTGCTGAAGGCAGCTCGGAGCTCTCGAAGCATGTGGGGCAGGCTGGCTGGGAAGTGGGTGCAGCTGTTCTCAGATGGCATGCTCTGGTCTGGGCTGGCCCCGACCCCGGCCAGGAAGACCAGGCAACAGAGCAGTGCTGAGCTGGGCATGGTGGCACTCTGCCTTCTTCTGCGAGTCGGCCTTGTGGCTTGGTTTTGCAAGAGCCCTGATGTGTAGACCTTCACCTACTGTGTCCCCCTTTTATATTGTGGGCCTCATTCATAAAAAAGCCACAGAGTTACAGATTTCCTGGCAAAGGTTTTTTCTGATTAAAGCTCCTCCCTTCTCTAGACCTTTGCATTCGATGAACTTCTTTAAGTGTTAATTCTCTGCATCGTAAGCAAAAAGGATGGTTGAAAAACGAACTTCTGCATTACGCTATTTTTAGGACGAGCTACCTCTCTCTCTCATTTAAAATATTTTTTCAGCTTCTCTTAATAAAAAAAAAAAAAAAAAAAAAAGTTGATTTCCTGGGGTGAACAGCTGTTCTGTACGCAGAGCCCACAGTTGTGGATTCCATTCACGTGTTCGTAGGTCACAATGACGTGGACAATTCGGCCACTGCAGAGTGTACTGGGATTGAGAAATAACTGGATCCCTTCCCTAACCTGGGTTGAACACCCGAGGCTTCTCCTTGCTGAACTGGGAGGTCATCTCAATTCTCTGGGCCTTAGTTTCCCTGAGTGAAGCTATGAGGGTGAGCTAACTATCCTCAAAGCTGCCTTCTGGTTCTTTCGTTTTCTGTCCCAAGCCCGCCCCTTGAAGAGGCCAGCTTCCCATAGGACTGCAGGGGCGTGGATGTGCTCCGGGCTTCTTCTCTACTCTGAGTTCATTGGGACAGTCAGGTCCATGGCTCCATCTCCTTGGCTGTCCCAGTACTTGGGGGAAGTTAGTAAGAGTAGTCCAAACGCATCAAAAGTTTTATACCTGCCAGTCCCCGAGAGCCTTATTGTCTCCATTGTATAGTGAGCACGCAGAGGCACAGGGTTGCAGGGGTGCTAAGTGAGGGAGCCGGAATCTGCACTTGGGGCGGCCTGACCCTGACACCACGCCCCTAACTGCCCTGCACACTCCCGGTGTGGAATGAGACGACTGGCTTAGAGTCTTTCCATTGTCTTTTCATTGTAAGCGTCCACGGTTGGAGGCTCAGCCTGAAAGATGGGGAAGAAGAAGTAGAAACCACACAAAGAATAAGTCAGGATCCCATGAAGGCTGAATAGCAGGTCCCTCTCTTTCCTCTTACTTAGTTCTTCTCCCCTTCCCAAAGAAGCTCCTGTTCTCCTGGCCCAGATTTGGACGATGTGTGTGTGTGCGTGCGCACATGAGTGTGTGAGTAAATGTGTGAGTGTGCGTTGAAGTATGTGCATGTGTGTGATAACATGTTTGTGTGTAGGGGCAGGGCAGCCAGATAGGAGAGGCATGCTGCTCTACCTCTGGTGAGGAAAGACGGGGGTAGTGCCTTCCTCAGATCTCTGGAACGTCTCTGCGGGTCCTTCGTGCCTCAGCCTCCTCCTTCCACAGGGCCTTTCCCACCCGTGAAGACAGTAGTAGGGAGAACACTGACCGGGAATCGGGGCAGAAGGCCTGGCCTCTGTCCTGGCTCTGTCACTCTTTATACCCACACGCTTTGGACTCTTCTTTGTGTACCTGGTGCTGAGCACAGGGTCTGGCCCATGGCAGGTGCCAGGCACACAGCTTCCTCTTTACTGTATTAGGATGGGCAGAGCAGAATGCCCTGGCAACCTTGGCTAGGGCCGGAGAAAGCAACACTGAGGAGGCTGGTCTGGCACAGCCAAGGACTCAGCGGGGTCGGGAGAGCAACTCAGTGAGGCAGGAAGCATCTTTTCCACTTTCCTATAGTTTGAGATATATATGTACATATACATGTACGCACACATGTGCCCACATGCACACGATGGCAGGGAGAAGGGAGGCGGGCATAAACCATTTCTGTCTTTCTTTAATCCATAAGCAGTTTGGTGAATAGTTGATCCTTTCCTCATTGATTTGAAATTATTGTCCTCTCTTATCTCAAAAGTTCAGAATCTAAAGGGTCAGAGATAACCATAGGCAAATTTCTTGATGCAATTTTTTAATTAACAAACAGAGATAACACTATGTTTTTTTTTTTAATCAACCACAGGCAAATTTCTTGATGCAATTTTTAAATTAACAAACAGAGATAACACTATGGTTTTTTTTTTTTTTTTTTTTAATCAACATATCTCAGGATTGATGTCAAGCTGATACAGGAGAATTGGGATGAACATTTTGGGAAAAATTAAAACCCTCTCCTTTTATATTGACAAAACAATGAGAACAATAAAAATAGCAGTTATCCTATTTCTCAAGGCTGTGAAGATAATCTCTGTATTGGAGAAGTCATTAAGGTCCATTAGGAAAAGTCCCAAACTCACAGGTCACACATTCACACAAATGTTGACAATCTGCATGTTAGGAGAGTTGAGTGTGGGTTTCAGTCTAAGAGAAGGACTGAAAGGAAGAGCCCGTATAGGGAAAGACACGACAGAGCAGGGTCTGAGGGTGGAAGGCGTGTCAGTCTCGGCCTGTCTGGCCCTGCGGATTCTAAGAGGACATAAATGCCACTTGGCAGACTGTGAGCTCATTGAGGTTCACTGACCTGAGTCCACTTTTTTCTCAAGTCCAGATGCATAATGGGTGTCTAATAAATGCTTATTAAATTTTTGGTGGGGAGTCACTGGAAAATCAGAGGAAGGTTGTGGGAGGGAAAATACCTCTCCTCTTCCACCTCCCGGCTGTAAAACATTTGCTAATTTTGCTATTCAGCTGCCAAAGAAAGACACTCTGAGTAAGTAAGCATGGTTTTAAAAAGCAAGAGATTTTTTTGGTCTCTCCCAAGAAGTCCAGAGCTGCTTTTCCTGCCTTCCTGCTCTCCTGTTTTATTGTTGGAGGATGTCATGGAGAAGGGGTGTGGCTAAAGTCCAAAGGTCCAAAGCCATGTCAGCCCTGGAGATTCTAATAATACTCTTTCCAGAAAGTTCCACTCAATGAGTTTCACCACTTTAGCTGCAGAGGAGTCTAGGCAGACAAGAACTGCCAGTGTGTGTGTGTGTGTGTGTGTGTGTGTGTGTGTAGATTTTGGAGGGTCCTGTTTACAATGCACTAGATCTTATAAGGAGTCACCTTCCAGCTACTCTCATGCTCAGCAAAGTGGCAGCCTTGTGCTTTGCAGCAATTCTGCAACTCAGACCCCAAAGTGGAGACCATCTTGTAGGACTGTCTTGGAGCTTCAAAAGGAAGGCTAAGGAATCTGGGCTTGCTGGACTCAGGGTTCAGCCAGTTTACCTGCTTATAGGGCCACTTGAGAGGGAACAGGCAGGTTGGTGATGCAGGAAGAGAAGGGGGGATGGTGATGCCTGGAGCAGTGGCGATGACTGTCCTGATGAAGAACCCCCTTGGGGATTGATTGGCGTCTACTTGCCCATTAGTCGTTATTATTTCAAGGTTGATAGTAAGAGTTTCATTTCTTCTTATCCAGGGCATCTAGTTTGTACAGTAGGTTCCCCAACTTGAAATTTCTATGATTCCCTTGAATAACCCTGTTCAGCTCCCTGGTCAGAGACTTCCCCCGTGGCTATGCAGCAACAGGCCTGGTCAACAGAATATGACCGCCCCCCTTGAATAACCCTGTTCAGCTCCCTGGTCAGAGACTTCCTCAGTGGCTATGCAGCAATAGGCCTGGTCAACGTACAGAGTATGACCGCCCAAGTGTGGCTGGGTGGCTGTGCCCCTGTCCTCTTCCGGGCTCCTCTTGCTTTGGTCTTGTGCCTGGGGTGCTTTAGAATAAAAACCTGGTGGTCGAAGGAGCCAAGCTGCGGCTGGACGCTTGACAAATTCAAGCAAAGTTTATGCAAACCCAACTGGGTGCTCTTCCGAGGATTCTATCAGGCAGACACTATAAACCACAGCGGAAGGGTTGATCTTTGGACAGCCAATGTGGAATTCCCCTTTGTGTAACGGGGCAGAAAATCAAGCAATTTGGATTTTCCTTAGAGGACAAACACTGTGATCTGTAACTTCTCATAAGAGACATTGGCTTACAGGGGCCAGGACACCAGATGTTGGAGACCTTGTTACCCAGAAGATACAGCTATTTCTGCTCTGCCTGCATGACTACCAAGAGTAGCTAGTGCGTTTCTGCGCCTGGGGCACAGATGGATCCTTGCAGTTCCAGTGGCTGTCAATCTGATGAGATTCAGTTTACTCAGATCTCCTCTGGATGACTAAACAGGGCTGGCTTTGTGGCCCTGTGACTTGTGTGGTCACACAGGGTCCCAAGCTTGGAAGAACACTGCCCTTGCTCTGCTGTCACTACCTTAATCATTATTGAACAAGAGGACTCACATTTTTTATTTTGCACTGGGTCCACCCCAGTTTTATGTGTCAATTCTGTATGTGAGATGAAACTCATCTTCTTTCTCTGGTCTCACCTCCATCTAGTCCTCCCTACAGTAAATGGCACCACCATCTAATCTATCCCACAAGCCAGAAACCTAGAAATAACTTGTTGCTTTCTCCCTCTCCCTTGCCAACTTATGTCCAATCTATTTTCACATCTTCCAGATTTTTCTTCACAAACATCTTTCTGATCTGCTTACTTCTCTCCAAGTCCATCATCATCATCAACAACAATGTCTGGTTCATGGTGCCATCTTATCTGTTCTGCACTCCAAAACAAATGCCTAATTGATATCCTAACATCTGTTCTCTGAACTGTTCTCCACTTTGTAGCCAGAGTGATTATTTCCAAACACCACACCCCCTACTTAAACCCTTCAGTGGCTGCCCCTTGCCTTTTCTGGGTAAGGTTTCCTTTTAAGCTTTAGAATATGTGCAGACAGAAAAATATTTCTACTGTATTTGTCTCTGAGACATGACTGCAGTGGTGTTAAAAGGCATAGTTTGGCATACCCTCCCACAATACCACTAAAGCACCATCTCCTTCAAGAAACTTTGAGAGCAGAGAGTTGAGTACTTCATCTTGTCTGTTCTGGTCTTTATTTCTAAAATGTGCCTCTGATTATAAATTCCATATTCTTAATACTGTCTACAACTTACTGTATCATCTGACTCTATTTCTTCTGCTTGGACTTTCAGCATTTCCCCCTGTACTCCAGCCTGATTGG